AAAAAAAAAAAACAAAAAAAAAAAAAAAAAGTCCAGTTTCTGGTCACAAGTGAAAGGCTTCAGGGAGACATGAGAGGAGAAAGAGCATGCCAATCAGAGGAAATTATTAGATAGCCTCTTCCCCCTCAAACCTAGTTTGCCGTCTTGAGCAACCAGGACCTCAAAGGTGGCCAAGAAACACTGTCTTAGTTATTTTTCTTGTTTCTGAAACAAAATACCCAACATTCAAAGGAAGAAATGTTTATTTATCTTATAATGTGTAGAGGATTCAGTTCATCATAGGTTGGCTCCAAGGCAGGGTGGCACAGCAAAAGGACATCACAGAGGAAAAACAGTCCACAGCAAAGCAGGATAGGCAGAAGGCAGCAATCAGCAAGTGAGAAAAAAAAAAGCAGCAACTGCAGCTCTCTTTCTGTCTCTTATATTTTATCCAAGCTACTTGTCCTTAGGGTGGGTAACACTCACACCCTTAATACGGGCATCACTCTGAATCAATCCCAGCATCACATCCTTGATCTCAGCATCACACACCCTAGATCCAGCCACCTCTGAAAAGCCCCACCCATGATTGCATGGGGCTTTAGAAGGATCTCTAGATAAACACCATAAATTGTCTAGGGAATACTTCAATAGGGGAACAAGAGATGCCTTCTCTCCTTTTCATATTTTTCTAAAAAATAGGAAGCTAGGTCTCAATTCCCATCACCCAATTGAAATGCTTCCCCCAAAATTGGGACTCCTTTGATCCCCAGACCCTGAAAAAGCACCATATGGCTTTCTTTTTGCACCCATGCTTGACTGCCTACCTTCTGAATGACAAGAGAAAGGTAAAATCTCTGCAGCTACCTTTGGGAAACCAACCCACCACCCCTTCACTCCCAAAATGCTCAGATGACTTGTTACAACTGTGGATGGCCAGGGCATTTTCACAGAGAATGCCGACAGGATTATCATTCCTGAAACGGTATCACCCAAGCCCTGTCCTATGGCAAAGGGATCATTGGAAGACAAAGGTCTGACTTCCTAGAGACAAAGGTCCTCAGAGCCATAGCCCTCCTTCCAGATGGTCCAAAGTTCACAGGACTAAAGTGCTTGTCAGCATCCACTCCTGGCTCCCACCACCCGGACAGTCATCTCCACCTGGGAGTTACTTTAACTAGTAAAGTAGCTTCATCAAATAATGCACCAGCTTGTAAGGGCATGTAAGGTTTGCCAACAGATCAACTCTCCAAACAACCAACAAAATAGGAGACACCCTAGGGAAGAAGACACACATATGCCCAGGAACAAAGGAATCCAATATCTCTTAGTATGAGCAGATATTTTCATCAATTGGCTAGAGTCCTTCCCATGTAAGACAGATAATGACTTTAATGTCAAAAATTGTTCCACGTATGGGCTTCCCTCCAGAGTGATAACGGCCCCTCCTTTAAGGCTGCTGTCACCCAGAGAATTAAAAATTGAATACCATCTTCATTTTGTCTAGAGGCCATAGTCCTCAAGAAAGGTAATAAAAAGACACATGACATTCTTTTTTTTTTTTTGAACTGGGGATCGAACTTGGGACCTTGTGCTTGTGAGGCAGGTGGTGGAACCATTGAACTAAATCCCTAGCCCAACACATAACATTCTTAAACAACATCTGAGAAAGCTCACCCAGGAAGCTCACATTCCCTGGCCTACCCTACTTCCTTTGGCTCTGTTATGTATCAGAAATACACCCTCTACTCTGAGACTCAGCCCCTTTAAAATGTTGTGCAGGCACCCCTTTCTCACCAATGATTGTTTAGAAAGTCAAAAAGTTACAGCTCAAATCAGAGACAGAACAGCCCCAGCTAAGTTTCAACATACCCTGAAACAGTTGTCTGAAGCCTGATTCAGGCAATGGAGCCTCCCTATATTCTGACCCAGAAGCCTAATCTTAGTGATTTTTCTCCCCCTTTTGTCCCCTTCTATAGAACCAACCTGAGAAGAACCACACACAGCAATCCTGTCCACCCCAACAGCCATCAAGGTGACAGGGACCGTGTCCTAGATGTATCATTTTCAACTCAAACCCAGACAGTTTTACCATCCAAAGATGAAGAGAATGACAGTCACCCCTGTAAGCCACTGGAGGAACTCAGTCTCCTCTCTAAGAAAAAAATCACCCTCCTTCTCAAACGATAAATCATGATAAATAGGCTCTAATTCATCTCTGTTTTAGCTAGTACCTGTAGATATCCTTACTTCAGCCTTTCAGTGGCTCTGTTTGGTTCACCCGCTTCCCAGGGAATAAAATCATTTCAGATATTATTTTGATAAACAGTCACATCGCACATCCCCAAACTAGGCATATCCCACCTTATAGATAACTCAGTTACTGATTTTGTCTGATACTTTACAGGACCCTTACTCTTTTTTTCTTATCCGTTTTTCCCTGGAACTGCTGGAAAAGGCTCCTCCCAATGTCTGATAATAGAGAAGATGAAAAGTATTACCAATCTATCTCAATGCTGGCTATGTCCTAAGATGACCAAATTATATCAAACTGAGCTCTCCCTCCAAGCATTACCAATAAAGGCACAGGAATAAAAACACAGTATTGAGAAACTGTCAAGATATTCCTATACCTTATGTAACCTCATCTGCAGAGAAGGAATTGGAGAAAAGCTAGACTTCAATTTCCCAATTAAAAATATATTCCCTTGGGCTGGGGATTTAGCTCAGCAGTTCTGCCACCTGCCTTGCAAGTACAAGGACCCCAGTTCGATCCCTGGTTAAAAAAAAAACAAAACAGAGTTTTAAGTTTAAGAGTTTTACTCTTAAAGTCTTTCAACTGATTTGTTCATTTGGTGTGCATGCCTGTAATCCCAGCACCAGGGAGGCTGATATAGGAGGATCATCACAAGTTTGAGACTAGCCTGCAGCTACCTAGTGAGTTCATGGACAGCCTGAGCTACATACAGTCCCTGTCTCAAAAAAAGAAAAAGGGTGGGGAGAGAAAGAGGGAGGGAGAGAGAGAAAGAGACAGAGAGGGAGAGGGAATATAACAAGAATTAATAAGAGAGAAGTTGGGATTCTAATAGGCAGTAAAGAGAGTCGCCTCAAAATGGAGTCAGGAAGACCAAAATGGAGTCTGCTGAGTCACAACTCTCCAGAGATATTACAGAAACATCTTCCAAGGATCCTGCAGCTGTCTGGGACCTTCCCAGAACATGATCAGATAGGTCATTGGGTCAAGGGTGCAAACTACATAGATTAACCCTCCCAGATATAGTCTCCTATATTATATTACTTACACAATGGCCAAATCTTCTTTCTAAACACCTTTAGAACCCCTAGGTAAGACCCCTCCTGGATATTCTATTCAGAATTGCTTCCTGGTTAGTGGGAGCTTTACTTCCTTGCCTTTATATCTTTTAAATAAATTTGCTTTTGCCCTTCTCCATCCTTGGTCATCTTTGTCAGCATTGGACATGCCCCCAGCATTCTGGTAGCAATTTCTGAGGCTTTTCCCCAGGATGCCAGTCCTAGGACTCTGTGGAGGAAGAGTGTCCAAAATAGAACAGGAAGTCCAGAGACTCATAAGAAGGACTTATGGAATGGTTGGTGAAAAGAAAGGACAGTGTAGTTGAGGTGTAAGGAGGGAAAGGAAGAATGAGAGAAATAAGATTAGGCAGGGAGCTATGTGGGTATGTAAGAGCCTGACTGAACCAGAGCGACTCCATGTTGACCAACAAAGGACCTAGAGACTGTCGCTCCCCCGCTCCCTTACAGGATAACTAAAGATTAATTGTGAATTGTTAGGTAACTGCTATGAAGTAGCTGGGAAACTAAATGGAAACTATAGTGAGTACAGAGATCCAATATGAATCACTCCACTCCTTACTTGCCTGTAGTTGAATGTTCTGAACATTATAATCTAAGTTGTAAATGGAATACTGGATAATCGATCTGCTGATCATTAGTATGTGACGGTCAAGTATATGCTTGATGACCACTAGCTCAGATCAACTGATTCTTTGCCTTTGTCCTCTTCCTGTAAGTTTTAAGTGTAAACCGCCCCCCTTTAGCCCTATATAAAATGGCCTCTGTTTCTGAGCTAGCCGCCTCTCTGAGCTACTTGGCTTGGGGAGTGCCGTCTGGCCAGACTAATAAAGGTCTATTTGCCAACTTGCCTGGTGTGTTCCTTCCTGGGTGACTCTCGCTGTCCGACAAGCTCCTGGAGCCTTGCTGAGCTTCTGAGCCCAGCATCGTGGAAGCCTCTTGGCTGTTCACGCTCCAGGAGTAAAAGTGAGACTTAAGTCTTACAGGTATACAATCATAGAAGCCAATATCGTATGTTTGGCTTTTATTCTCCATGCAATGGTGAGCTGCTGGAAAGTTTAAAGCTCAGAGAACAATATGATCTGATATACTTGTTGACAGGTCACTTTGGTTTCTCTGGGTACTGAATGATAAGAGATTCCACACAATGTTTTTGGTTAATGTTTTGTTGCTATTGTGTTTTTGCAGTGCTGAGGAATGAAGCCTCCCATATACCAGGCTAGCCCTCTACCATGAGCTATATCTTCAGCTGTACACAATGATGTTTTTTAAATAGGCTGGTCTGCTACTGGCTGAAAATAGATGCATTCAATAAAAGACAGATTTTACTAGTAACATACTAAAGCCATTGCCCACTTTTGCAGTAAGCCAGAATCACTTGGTTTTGTAGTGTTTGTAATTTTTATCCTTTTCTTCCTGCTCTTTCTTTGTACACTATAAACACATAGCATATTCTTGTCATTTCAGCTAGGGATCTTTAGGGTTGTACTTCTGAGAAGAGGGAGGGAGGGGAACTAGTACTGAGGGGCCTTGCACTTCTAGGCAAGTTCTTTACTATGGAGCTACATACCCAGCTCTGTATCAAAACCTTTTTTCAAGAACTGGGCATGGTGGAACAACTGTATTGCCAGCTACCTAGGAAACTGCAGCAAGAGGCTCACATGAGCCCATGAGCCTGGGCAACATAGGGAAACATAGGGAAATGCCTGTCTTGAAAATTTTCTTTTCCAATAAAAATCTAACACTATTCATATTACATGCACATTCATAAGGCCAACCTTATATTTTGCCTACTACAGGAATGTTACTGTGTGCATTATCAGTTATAGTACAGAGGGCAGAGGATTTATTGTAAGGGACTAGAGTATGTGAGTATAAAGGCTGGCTAAGCAAGATCAAAACATGTCAAGTAAGCCATCAGTAAGAGCAAAATGGAACTCCTGAGCAAGAGCAGACATTGTAGTCCACAGGCAGAATTTCTTTGTAGGAAAACTTTAGTTTTACTCTTAAAGTCTTTCAACTGATTTGTTCAAGCCCATTCATATTACCCAGGATCATCTCTGTTAGACTAGGCATGGTGGTGCATGCCTGTAGTCCCAGCCCTGCAGAGGCTGAGGAAGGAGGATCGCCTTGAGTTTGAGGCTGACCTGGGCTACATAGTGAGTTCAAGGCCAGCCTGAGCTACATAGCGCCTTCCTGTCTCAAAGAAAAACCCAAGGAAATCTATCTAAATGGAACTCTTGTTTTAAAAAAAAAAATGAACAAATTTCGGATGGAATTGGAACCCATTTTAAAATTTACATAAAAGAAGAAAAATTCCACAAATACCTAAAACAGTTCGCAAAAAAAGCAGAGGATGAATTCACACTACATGCTACGGACAGACACTGCTAAGCTGTAATACTTAAACTGTGCTGCTGGTATTAAAGAGTGGTGCTGTTGGGTAACAGTGGGATAGAAAGAATACAGATGCAGACTCGTGTGTCAAATATTCCTATGGAGAGTTGTTACGTGATAAAATTAGAATCATGAATCACTAGGGGAAGATGCACTATTTCAGAGCGCGGGGGAAATTGGTTCACTTTAATGAACAAAAGTGAAACTTGAATCATACCTACGCACACGAAGAAATTCAGATGTATGTAAAGCTTAACATGAAAAATAAAGCAAGGTAAATAAAAAGTTTCCAAAAAGAGAAAAATAAAGCAAGGGCCACGGATCCAGGGATGTAGCTCTGCATTACAGTTCCTGTTTGGCAAGCACGAAGTTCTGAGTTCAATTCCTGGTACCAAAAAAAAAAAGAAAAAGAAAGAAAGAAGAAAGGAAAGAAAGAAGGAAGGAAGGCGAGGACAAAAGAGGAGGAGCAGGGGATATAAAGAAAGTTACAATGTTGTATACACCTGTACCAACTCCCCATGAGGAATGAAATCATTGTGAACTACAAATATGGATGAAGTAAAAATAAAAATTAGAAAAAAAACAAGAAAAGTATTGGGAAATACTTTGAACATTGAAGTTGGAGAGAATTTTGTAAACAAGATGCAGAAAACACAACTTACGAAAGGAGAACATGATGAATCTGTAGTAAATTTGAAGATTTCTAGTCAACATTAGACATCCGTCACAGGTGACTCACTGGGAATCTTCTCCGAGGGGTGTACAGCCAATCAAAATCCACATTCAAGGTCGGGGGTGTAGCTAAGTGGCAGAATGTATGGTTAGCATAAATGCAACCCTGGGTTCAATCCCCAGCACTAAAAATAAAATCAGTATTTAAAATATATAAAGAATTCCGAAACATAGGCAAGAAAACCCTGGGAACAGTGCACAAAGAGTATAAAGAAGGAAAGCTGGCCCTGTAGTGCTCACCTGTAGTTCCAGCTACTAGGGAATCTAAACCCTGAGGATCACACAAGTGCCTGTGTTCAAGGCCAGCCTAGGCAACATAGACCCTCTCTCAAAAGAAGAGAGAGAAAAAGTGGGGCAGGAGGAAAAGATGTAAAGGCAGGCGGGAAGGCAGGGCAGAAGGATTGGGAGAAAAGCCAGGATTTGGATAATCTCACTATTTAAAACCAGGTCTTCCCCTACCCACTCAACAGTCTTTTTTTTTTTTTTTTTTTTTTTTTTTTTTT